CTCTGGCTGAATCTGGATGTTCTGCTACGGATACCACGAAGCCCCCTCCTCCCAGAAGGGAACAAGGAAAACAGGTCGTGAAGAGGATGTGTAGTGTCCCAGACAATCTTGCGGACCCTGCTCAAGCAACGCTTCTGTGCTATGTCCTGGATGGGAGGGAGGGGACTGCCAATGATCTTTTCGGCCATCCTCACCACTCTCTGCACCGCCTTCCTATCTGAAGGATAGGCATCCTTTTAAAATTCCAGGAATTTTAATTAATGCTAAGGATGTTTCCTCACTCAGGGAAAGTTATAACTTTCTTGACAGAAGCTAGGTAGCAATTAGCATGTGAGAAGGCTGTTATTTGGAACATTGCATTGCTGCTTTTCCCTCTTTAACTAATGGCGTATATAAAATGGTATGCTTGTCAGGAGACCCAGTTTTAAGAAACCATTAGCGTGATTGAGGGGAGCCATATGAGGAAGTGGTGGAATGTAGTCTGGAGTCCCAGGGAGGAGGGGCTGCTTCCTAGACAGCAAAGAGGCAGCGGCAGTTGAAATGTCTGGTAAGCAGGAAGAGGGCTAAGACGGCCCTTCCCTAGCGGTTCACAGAGTATATCTGTAGTTACACAGATAGTCCCTTTATTCTGGCAAGATTCCGTCTGTAGGCCAGACATGTCAGACGCAAGGCCCGGGGGCCAGATGCGGCCCACGAAGTGGTTTCATGTGGCCCGCGAAGCCATCCTGGAAACAGTGAGGGAACGGCCCCCGCTGCCTTGGCCCTGGCCCTGGCTGCGTTTCTTGCCTATTTTTCTCCCTCCCTCATCTCAAATATTTTCCCACCACTCTGTACTTAGGAAGGAAGAAAGGAAAGAAGGAGAGGGAGGGTCTGAGGGAAGTCCTGCCTTAGTCCGGTCCTGCTGCCCTTTCACCATCCCCTTGCCCCGTCCTCCTGGCCTATCCTGGGATCTCCCATCCTATTGCTAACGAAGCTTTGGATACAAAGCCGGGTCTCCTCCCAACCTGGCTAAGGAGAGCAACCACAGCAGCAGCAGCCTTGAGGAGGAGGTAAGTGCAGCTGGGCGCCCCCTTGGGGAAGTGGGGCTGGGTTTGGTGCCGTGGATGCTCGAGGGCCAGGCTGGGCATTTGACCTCTGCTGCCCAGGGCTCCGGGCAGCCCACACCACCATCCAGCCCCCCCACATGGCCTGAGAGGAACAGTGAGGCTCCTCCAGTGGACCATGCCTTGGCACTTGCTCCGGTCCCACCCCCTTCTGCCAGAGACCCTCAGATCTATCCCACTCCTGCCCAGGCCCCCACAGGCCCCCTTGACGCGAACGATGTAGAGCTGGCCATGCCCACCCAATAGGCCACACCCACTCCACGCCCACCCAGTAGGCCGCACCCACCCTGGCCACACCCACTCGGCCCCCCAAGGGCAACCGCAGTGCTGATGCGGCCCTCAATGAAATTGAGTTTGACACCCCTGCTGTAGGCAAACAGCAATAAAGAAACTACTCAGAAGTAACACACACACACACACACACACACCCATGTAGTTCTTGATTTCCTGGGACCTGACATCAATCTTGTCAAAGTAAAGCAAATATCTGCATAACTGTAGATATATTCCAAATTGCTAGGCAGTGACCACCTTAGCCATCTTTCTGCCTACTAGGCATTACAAGCTCCGCTGCCTCTTTGCCCTCTGGGAAGGAGCCCCTCCCTCCTGAGAATCCAGACTACTTTCCACTACAGATGATCTTTGATGATGTAGTCTGCAGGAAGAAGGCAATGAGGAAGCCAAAGGAAAGAAGAAATGCAAAATTGGGTAAAATGTGGTGGGTAAGTCGGCCACAACCAGAGAGCATCAAAATGCCAGTTGGGTAGCCAGAACACTTTTACTTATCCAAGGAATGATCCTATGAGCTCTCAATTAGAAGTCTGCCTGAGGATTTAATTAGAATATCACTGTGTATATGCTATTCTTGAATCCACTCCATATTGCCTGAAAACGTCTTATTTCCGTTTTAGCCAGTAGGGAGATTTATTGAAGAAAATGTAACCTTGAGTGCTTCGTTGGCAATGAATTGTATTTGAGAAACTTTACTATAAAATACACTCTGAAATTCCCTGTCCATAACGTTAAAGGATGATATTGATGCTAACGTTATTAGCATTGTATTTAATACTAGCTGTACCCGGCCACGCGTTGCTGTGGCTCGGTCTCAATGCGCCATTGTGCATTCATCCCAAACAATAAGTTTGCATTTCTGCAATACTTTTCTCATGCCGGATGCTTTGGAAATGTTGCACGTGGGAGTTTCAGTGAATTGCATGTTCAATGGCAATTTCAAAGTGTCCAACAGATGGCGCTGTTTTTTTAAAAAAACATGTTTTTACCTGTCACAGGTGTGACATCTATATAATATAGGTATATAAAAACACGTGCATATTCGAATGCAACGTTGTGTCAAAATTTCAAAGCAATCGGTGAAGAACTTTTGGAGATTTAAGATTTTGAACAAACGAACATTTACATTTTTATTTATATAGATAATTTGAGTTCAACCTGACAATAGATATAGGCCCCTAGTTTCTTTCCTGTTTTTCAGCCCAAGCCTCCATCATTGCTGGAAAGCATAATTCAGAGTAGAAGACATTGTTTGTAGCTCAAGGTTGAACTGTGGGATCATTGGCAGTCTCTGAGCTTGGTTGTTTTCTTTCAGACATTTCATTACCAACTAGGTGATATTCTCAGTGCTAGAAAGGAGTGGAGTTTAAATAAAATTCCTTGATTTGTCAGTATTGGTGAAAGTGTTCTTGATAATTCCTGGATTAGGCTGTTGTTTACTGTTTGATTGCTTTTCTGAGTTGGCAGTTTCTTGATTAGGGTATTGTTTAGATGTCGGTCAAGTATTAATCCTAGTGTCAATCCCTGCTTATCTAAGAGCCCGGATTGGGCAGTGGTTAAAGTGCAGTATTGCAGGCAAACTCTATCCACAGCCTGGAGATCGATCCTGATGAGGCTCAAAGTTGACTCAGCCTTCCATCCTTCCGAAGTCAATAAAATGAGGGCCCAGATTGTTGGGGGCAAGACACAAATAATGCTTGCATTGTAAATTGCCTAGAGCAGGGGTAGGCAACTTTGGCTCTTTTATGACTCGTGGACTTCAACTCCCAGAATTCCTGAGCCAGCTTGGCTCAGCTTGGAAACCTCTCCCTTTCCCCTCAGCATGGCTGGCTCAGGAATTCTGGGAGTTGAAGTCCACAAAAGAGCCAAGGTTGCCTACCCCAGGCCTAGAGAGTGCTGTGAAACGCTATGGGGCAGTATATAAGCCTAAATTCTATTGCTATCTCAGTGTTGATTGCTTGTGAGGAGCTGTTTAGAAGTAGTCCTCAGGGCCACCCTGCTCTTTCCGAATGGCTCTTATCCTCATGTCTGCTTTAGCAATTTATGACTTGATTTTCTTCTTCTCCTTAGGTTGGGAGCCACCCAGTTAAAAATTTTCACCTGCGAGTATTGCAACAAGGTGTTCAAATTTAAGCACTCCCTTCAGGCCCACCTGAGGATCCACACCAACGAGAAGCCCTACAAGTGCTCCTTCTGCAACTACGCCAGCGCCATAAAAGCCAACCTGAACGTTCACCTGCGGAAGCACACCGGAGAGAAATTCTCCTGCGATTACTGCCCCTTCACCTGCCTGAGCAAAGGCCACCTCAAAGTCCACGTGGAGAGGGTCCACAAGAAGATCAAGCAGCACTGCCGCTTCTGCAAGAAAAAATACTCCGATGTCAAAAACCTGATCAAGCACATCAAGGAGGCCCATGACCTGCAGGACAAAAAGGTGAAGAATGTCTTTGACGAGCTCTGCTTGATGACTCGAGAAGGCAAGAGGCAGCTTTTGTACGACTGTCAAATCTGCGAACGCAAGTTCAAGAACGAATTGGATCGTGACAGGCATATGCTCGTCCACGGGGATGAGAGGCCTTTTGCTTGCGAGCTCTGTGGCCATGGAGCCACCAAGTACCAAGCTCTGGAGCTTCATGTCCGCAAGCACCCCTTTGTGTACATTTGCAGTGAGTGCTCAAAGAAATTTGTCAGCTCCATCAGGCTCCGCTCGCATATCAAAGATGCCCATGGCGAATTGTTGGAGACTTCTGTTTTTGATCATTCCATCAGTCAGAGCTTTTGTTTGCTGGAACCTGGAGGAGATATCCAACAGGAAGCCCTGGGAGAGGAATTATCCCAGACTGCTGCTGAGCTGTCCCTCTTAAACTCCAAGGCACTCTGCATAGTAAAGTCTGTTTCCGCTGGAGAAGTAAACGCCATCGAGGGAGACCACGAAAATAACCCTGCTGAGAGCTTGGGAACATCTCCTGCTCTCCTTTTGGATTTTGAAAGTCCACCAGCAGCAAACACACCGGATCCAATTTGTGAGCCACTAATAGAATTGCTGTCCTTGCGTGCTAGCTTGGTCAATGCTTCAGATAGCTTTTTACAGAAAAACGCTTCGCCCGATTCAGACGGAGAAAAGGCCCCATCGTCGAAAGACCAGCTGCCACTCAACTCTTCAGTGAGCGTCCAGTGTGAAGTTGAACAGCTTTTGGGAGATGAAAACTCCAGTCTAAACCAGAAATGCCAAGGTCCAGAGAGCGTTCCTGATCCCGAAGAAGAGAGTCAGACCATTTCTCTTAATCACCAGGTAGTCAACAACTCAACACTTGAAAAGACAGAGTCCTGCGGTTCCCTTCCCCTTCTAGAATCCAGCATAGAACCTCATCAGAATTCAGAGTCCTGTCCCCAGCCTTCCGAGGATCGAACTGGAGCTGCCGCCTTTATGCAGATTTTGGACAACTTGCAAAAACAACAGATGAGTACAGCCTTGTGTGAGAAGATCAGGAAGGTCTACGGAGACTTGGAATGCGAATACTGCGGTGAGCAGGATGTTGATGGCTTGTTTTCACTTAGGACCCATGAATAGCAGAAGTTTGTTTCCATAGTAATCACCAGAGCAGTAGGCGATTCTGGCCATCCGAGGAAGGAGTGTTGCTATCCTTCTGAAATTAATTATTTTGTAACTTTTCTTGAAGAAGCAGAATTCAGGATTTTGACTTCTTCTCAAAATGAGATCGTCTGCCCTGTGAGAGGAACCTAGAGAGGGATCTGGGATTTAAAACCTTGAGGCTGTTCCTAGTCTTGTCTTAAGTAAATGTTGAGTCTGGAACAAGGGTCAGAAAGCAAGAGCAGGGCACATCAGATAGGTAAAGAAGAAGCAGACCTGGTTGGACAAACAGAGTTAGGGAAAAGCATGGTTGAACTGGGGGGATCCTTGGTACTCTCCGAGCTTGGAATAGAGCAGGGGTAGGCAACCTTGGCTCTTTTATGACTCGTGGACTTCAACTCCCAGAATTCCTGAGCCAGCATGACTCAGCTTGGAAAGCTCTCCCTTTGTAGAGGTGGGGGCCAGATAGAGGTCGGGAGCAGCAAACTGCCCCCTCCAAAGCCTATGTGCCTCTTCTCTCTACATTATCTCTTCCCTTCACATCACTATGGCAATGTGGGAAAGTACCCCAGGCTGGTACAATGACCTCACCTGCCTGATATCAGCTATCTTACACCAACAGGATGTTACAGCCAACTGCTCCCTGTTTTGGGCCTCTGGCTTCTATATTCTTAAAGGATTGGTAAGGAGTTTAACCAATAAAATGCTATTGCCATGTTAAACTTTTGCTGCTTGTAAAACTGTATAAAAGAATAAACGCTGCGACGGCGGGCAGCCATATTTGCACCCTGCAATGACTGAGCACTGATTGCTACATCCCCTTCCCCTCAGCATGGCTGGCTCAGGAATTCTGGGAGTTGAAGTCCACGAGTCATACAAGAGCCAAGGTTGCCTACCCCTGGAATAGAGGAATAGAGGCAGTACTAGCAGTTCAACGATTCTGTTGGGCTCCAGTGCTGGCTGAGGAATTCTGGGAGTTGAAGTCCACAAATCTTAAAAGTTGCCAAGTTTGGAGACCTGTTTTATGCCATGCAATAAGATCCTTTGGAGCATATGTTTATAAGCCCCGTTGATCTCTTTGCCACTGCTCAGTTTTGCACGGTTTGGGAGTTTGGACAGCGCTGGTCTAAAAGAATATAAAGTGAGAAGAGAGTTAAACATACTGGGAAGGACTAAGCATCTCTCTTTTGTTGGGCTGAGTGGCGGATTTGGTGGGACAATGGGAGAGAATGGTAGAGCCAGCAGATGATTAATGCCTCATTGAGAAAGGATAAAGGAGTTCTACTCTATTCTGCCCTACTAAATCCACCACTGAGTTTCTAGTGTTTGAGCTTCTAGTACTGCCTCTGTACCTGGCCAATCCGTTCTTGCCTTCTATGGGCGCCCCCAGAATCCGTTCTTGCCTTCTATGGGCGCCCCCAGATAATGTAGAGAGAAGAGGCACATAGGCTTTGGAGGGGGCAGTTTGCTGCTCCTGACCTCTACCTGGCCCCCACCTCTACAAAGGGAGAGGTTTCCAAGCTGAGCCATGCTGGCTCAGGAATTCTGGGAGTTGAAGTCCACGAGTCATAAAAGAGCCAAGGTTGCCTATTTTTCCATGAGAAGATATATATAAATAAAGAAGAAGGAAGGGAAAAATTTCAAGAGGCTGCCAAGGCCACCACTCAATCAACCAAAGAATTAAAAGTTGGGCTCTTTTCCTAAAATCTTGAACAACATCCTATTCCAGGCTGTGACAGTTTATCTTTGACTGGCATTAACTGTCAGATAGAGAACCCAAGCTGTTCTTTGTTTTGATTGAAGAAGGCAATATTTTACCTTGGGGAATTTGTGCTTCTCCTTGTACTAAACAACTGAAGAAGCTATTTAAGAACTTGAACCTACAGACTTTCAGCCTTAATATTAAACCTGTGTTCATCCACTAACCCTGGAATCTTGCTGGCCCCGTTATTAGCATTGCTTGCCTGTTTTCAGCTTCCAACTTGCCACTGAAGATCTGCACTTTCACATTTCCCATCACCTCGGTTTCTTCAACAGTAAACCATGTTTTGTGGAATCCTTGGTGCTTTCTGAGTTGGTTCTTTGCTTGCAGATGTCTGCAAGAAAAAGAACCAGGCTGAGAGAGCACCAAGGATCCCACAGTTAAACCATGAGCTATAAATATTCCCTTCTATTGAAACCATGTTTGGTCTCCGTTTTTTAACTTCTCAGAGTGAGTCCTGCATACTACTTTAATTTATCTGTTCCCCTGTTGTATTTAAATCTGAGCCAACTAAACTCCTTGCTTCCTACAGCTGTTATAGCAAAAATGCTTCTCTAGGTAGCCATCTAAGTTCTCCTAATTCACTAATAAGGCTCCCCGATTCAAGTGCTTTCTGAAAATCACATTTCATAACAATTCTGCACATTAAGAACAGTTCAATTAGCAGAATACCTTTTAGAAATGTTTCTCGTTAGGGACACAATTGGCAGAGGAATGTCAGTTAACTATGTCCAGATGAGGTTTTGTCTTTCTGGAAACAATTAAATCCATTTCATCCAGTCTTTTAAAATTCATTTACTTGAGAAAAAAAGTACATTTAAACGCAGTTTTTATGCTTTGCTTCCAAAAGATACAATCTTAGCGGTTGTGTTCTCACAACATGTTAACTTAGTACAGCTGCTATCCAAACCAAATCACCTTATCAATACTTCTGGTAGAACAGGGGTCTTCAAAGTTGGCCCTTTTATGACTTGTGGACTTCAACTCCCAGAATTCCTCAGCCAGCGTGGCACGCTGGCTGAGGAGTTCTGGGAGTTGAAGTCCACAAGTCATAAAAGGGCCAACTTTGAAGACCCCTGTGGTAGAACATCTCCTTATTTGGGGCAATCCCAGAGTCCCTGTCCCTTTTTTTCTGAGAAACCCTGTTATACCACAAGAAGGACTAGAGGTGACGTGATAGCAGTCTTCCAACACCTAAGGGGCTGCCACAAAGAAGAATGGGTCCATCTGTTCTCCAAAGCACCTGAAGGCAATATAAAAAGCAATGGATGGAAAGAGAACCAACCTGCAACTAAGGAGAAATTTTATGACAGTGAGAACAATTGAGCAGTGGAATGGCTTGCCTCCCGAAATTGTGAGTGCTCCATCACTGGAGGCTTTTAAGAAAAAACTGGACAATGATTTATCTAAAAGGGTACAGGGATTCCTGCTTGAGAAAAGGATTGGACTAGAAGATCTCTGAGGTCCCTTCCAACTCTATTATTCTGTTATTAAGGGAGGCCTGGCAAGGTTTCACAACCTCACAATCCCCTTTCTCATTGTCCAAAATTGCAGCAGTATCATGGTTTGGTCACTCTTATCAGTAAGTATTTAGGAAGTAAGTTCTGTGCTGTCGGACCTTAATCATGACCTATTTTTTCAAGCTGCTCCAAATTTACTCCAAATTTTTTGGGGGATGGGGGAAGTAGATATGCCCAAAAGGGTTCAGTTCAATAGGATTAGGTATTTTCATGATAGGATTAGACTTTGTTTAACCAACTTAGATTTGTTTGGGGCTAATTTAACCCTGTGTGCGTTAATGGACTGGGACTGTTGATGCTTTTTGATGTTCAGCCTTATGGTTGAATTAGGCTAGCTGCCAAAAAAGCCAACACAGTGTTGGGCTGCATTAACAGAGGGTTAGAATCAAGATCACGTGAAGTATTAATACCACTTTACAATGCCTTGGTAAGGCCACACTTGGAATACTGCATCCAGTTTTGGTCACCACGATGTAAAAAAGATGCTGAGACTCTAGAAAGAGTACAGAGAAGAGCAACAAAGACGATTAGGGGACTGGAGGCTAAAGCATATAAGGAACGGTTGCTGGAATTGGGTATGTCTAGTTTAA